ATACAGTATTCGTGCTGAATTTCGCTATGATATTATCTGAGGCTCTGATTTCCGTAGTTGAACTGTGCGTTAGTAGACATATTTAATAATACACGTCGAATTTACTCCTGAGTTGATACGACCGATGTTCGGAGGCTGTATCCACTGCGCCGAGGCCCGTCGGCAGAGTGTGCCTGGCATCGGCTGACTCATGCCGACGGGGATCGGCACCGCTTGAGACTGTTTGCCGACGGGTCGGCACCGAGGCCAATTTTGCCGACGTCAGGTCTCAAGCGGTGCTGATCCCCGTCGGCCGATGTCAGGCACACTCTGCCGACGAGGCCTCGGAACGCAGTGATCGCTTTATTTCTGCTGTGTCGGTCCGAGGTGTTGTGGCTACAATTTCATTTCACTTCCGGCTCTACTGTACACAGTCGACCGCTGTTACACGGCATGTAGCCGCCAAAATCGGAACTGCACATCCACGAGATATTCCAGTGGACACTGCAACATTTACGAGTTTCGGTCTACGCTGTTCTTAGCCGCATTGGTTCAACACTGTTTTAACTTGAATGCTCGCAGAAAGGGTTGTATTTGGAGGACTTAAATTTCGAAATTCGATTCAACGCAGAAGAGAATGTTTCGGCTGAGCGCCACCGGCAGTACCGTGTACCTGGTACGCCGCCCGGAACACCTCTTTCTCTTGTCGGCGAACCCCGGGCGTTAGAGGGTGCTACATACCCGAGTCGGCCCGACGCGGATCACCAACTTCCACACCACCAACTCCTCCGAGTCAGTCGGGGCTGGGCGGGCCAACCAGATATGGAATGGAAGCCAGACAGCCGGCTCGGAGGTCCACACCCTGCAGCTCGACCGCTGGCAACACCTTCTACAGCATTCCGCTAATGCACGGCGATCTCATCGGGTGCAGTACGAGTCAACAAACGGAGCGCGGGTCGAGGACCTCCGCGGTCATATCCATTCCACCAACCTTAAAAGCCCAAAGGGGAAATGCACACCTTACTCCCTGCCGCATTTTACTCTGCACGGAGGTAAAAGTTGTGGAATTCCTTGAGCTGTGCGGAATTCGATTTCACGCCGTTCTCCGCTATACCGCACACACTGCACTACAGCTAAACGAATGATTGTAATGGTAGGGCGTCGGTCACTGCACTCCGCCAAAACGCGGCCCACCGGGCACATATAATGAAGGTCTTCAAATAATATATGTATCACACCCCCCCCTCCTATTATCCAAGCACCTCATGAACGGTTCCGCCAAAGCCCTTGCATTCGACACTCTGCAGATTCATGCAGGCCATGTCGTCGACAAAGAACACAACGGACCTCGAGCAGTTCCGATCTGCGCGAGTGTGGCTTTCATGTTCAAAAATTCCGACGTCAGTAACAGACATAAACTAACCAAGAGAGCAAAGATGGCTTACATTTGAGCTTTAGAATGGTTCAGATCTGTTTGGACTACGGTGAGTCTGACTCCACCCCAAATTATTACTTCCGTTCTTATTATTCCACAGGGCAGATGGAGACGTGTATTCGCGACTGAGTAATCCGACTGTTGTACGTGTACTTTCAACGCTACATGTTTTATGTTTGACTGGTATTCAGGCCGTGCTGGAAGAGAGGATGGCCGCATTAGAAGGCGGAGTCGCTGGTGTTGCAACAGCTAGTGGACAAGCAACCCAATTGATGACTTTACTGGGACTTTGCAACGCAGGGCAGAATGTCATCGCCAGTCAAAATGGACTCTTTGGCGGGGTAAGATTCTCCTCCGTCATCATTTTTCAGTTGTATGTTTAATGTTCAATAGACGTACAGCCAGTTCAAGAGTAGGTTTCCTGTTTTACTTACGTCAGCTCCGAAACCAATCCTCATGTTGCAGACCTGTTCAAGAAATTTGACATCACCATCAAATTCGTTGCTGATGTCAAGCCTGAGCTCTTCGAAGAAGCCATAGATTCGAATACCAGGGGAATTTTTGTCGAGAGCATCAGTAACCCCAACATCATAGTTGCACCAATAGCCGAGCTCGCTGAAGTACGAGCCCATCTTCTTGATATATATTTTCTAATTCTAAATGCTGTAGGTGGCTCATGCGCATGATATTCCGCTGGTCGTCGACAACACTTGTGGAATGGGCGGTAAGTGTTAGTTCCTAGCAGTCTGAGATGATATTAATCGAATAAAAGGCTACATTATTCGTCCCATAGATCATGGTGCAGATTTAGTTGGTATGTGGATTAAATTCATTGAAGCGAGTCGGCAGCTCCAGTCTTATACATATTTCGCAAGTGCACAGCACGACGAAGTGGATCGGTGGCCACGGCACTGTGCTTGGTGGAATGATTATTGACTCAGGTACTGGGGACTCTTCAAGACAAGACCCTCCAATGTATTAATATTCTCTGCAGGAAAATTCGATTGGAGGAAATCACCCAAATTTACTGGCGTCTTCAGCAACCTCTATGATCCACGCATGTGCTTTGCACTGAAGATGCGGTGGGAAATGCTACGGGATATGGGAGCTTGCCAGAATGCGTTTGGTGCATTCTTGACTCTACAAGGCTTAGAGACCCTCAGTTTGAGAGCGGAGAAACATTGTGAAAATTCCCTTGCACTGGCGAGGTTTGTTTTCGCTTAATGTACATTTGCGAAAAGACTCACACAAGTCCTCACAGATGGCTCAATGCACACCCCAAAGTCGCATGGGTGGTATACCCAGGCTTAAAATACCATCCAGATCACGCGCGCGCTGTAAATATATTTCGAGAGGGAGCATTCGGGGGGATCGTGTCCTTTGGTATCAAAGGCATTCCTGGGGACTTGGTTGATAACTTGAAGCTGGCTAGCAATCTGTCCCACATGGGTACGTTCAGATCGTCTGGAAATTTTTTTCAACTACTCACGATACTCAGGCGACGCAAAGACACTGGTGATTCATCCCGGGTCGACGACCAATCAATCTATGACAGACGCTGAAGTAGATGCCTCTGGTGTCGCTCGCGACCTGATCAGAGTATGTACCATTTGCATTAGCTGAATTGTAACCGAATCTTACATTGTTCCAGGTCTCAGTTGGCATTGAAAATATTGCGGATATCATCGCAGACTTTCGTCAAGCGCTGGATCGTGTACCTGTTCAGCTTAATTAGCGAAGAGGAATTGGAATATATACATCGCGTATTACTTAGTTCAATATAATTCTATAGTAGTCATCAAATGAAAAAGCACGGTTGAAATATGTGGCAGTGCTGGATTGTCCAGCCCGATTAGCGAAATCCCTCCGAACAGACACTGTCACTTTTCATCGGATAACGATTCTTTACCTTCTCGCATCGTATTGAGTGTAGATTCTCCGCCACTGCTGGGCCTATAGCGCATTAAATGGGCTCGATTAAGTCACACACAGAATTCAGCATACAAAATTCAGCGCTCATGAAAAAAATGCACCATCTATCGCACGGCCCAGGCTCGAGTGGAACGGGCGAGTCTGCTATACTTTCAATCCTATCTTTCCATTGAGTGTAGATACGGATACGGTCCGGTACTGGACCTATAAATCAACAAAATCGACTCGGATGAACCACGCACAGAATCCAGCGGTCACTGCCGGTGGGCAAGAAAAAAATGCCTCAAGATCCACCACACGGCCCAGGCTCGAGTCGAACGAGCGCTATCTGCATACATTCCCGTTTCAAGTGTTTCTATTATGTGCAGATGCGGATACTGTCTGCCACTGGGCCTATACCTCAACAGTGTGAGGGTAAATAAACCCGAGATTATTTAGGCCTCACCATTCGATAGCATGCAATTTCAGGTTGGTCGCTCAACGGCACATATTCAGATCTGATTTCGGAAATGGGATATTATGGGATGGATTGTCAGCGAAAATAAACCTGGAGCGCGGTGGGTGGAAGGGTCCGGATCAGAGGAAGAAAAAAGGTTAACTGCAGATTTTACGCTCGAGTCGAACGAGCGTCTTCTGCATTACAAAGCTCTTCTGATACATGATGCAAAACGCGGACCACCGCCACTGGGCCTATAAGAGAAATAATGTGCACTCGAATAGAGCGGGACAATTTAGTGCTCACCAGCGACGGCAAAAAAAAGATACTCGGGGTCCCTCATGGCCCAGGCTCGAGTCGAACGAGCAATTTCTGCAACAACTTTTTTGACACGGAATTGCGTGCAGATGCGGACCATCCGCCACTGGGCCTTTTGAATAAAAACGTGAGCGTGGATAGCGCTGAAAGCACCGCTTACGGCGAGAGAGGCCAGACTCAGGCGCCAGGGCGCTGGTGGCTGGCGGGAAGAATCGGCAACTTTGACGCGTCGCACGTGTGAACCAAATATGGCATAACAACGCGTTTTTTAAAGGGCCAAATCTATGGAAAGTGCCATCCGTCACTGGGCCTACAATTCAGCAAATGCAGCATCCGAACCAAATCGGCACACTAATATAAATATTTCCGACCTCACGGCGAAAAACAAACGTGTGCGCTTGCCCACTGCAGTCAGGCCATGATCTGTAGCGCTGCAATCCTTATCGTCCTCAGAGATACGGAGTTTCAAAGAAAGAATAAAAGACTGTCCGGCGGGGCAAAAAAGACACATCCCACAACTCATGCCAGTAGCCCAGGCTCGAGCCGAACAAGCGGTTGTCTGCATGCATCACGTTTGACTTTATATTGACTGCAGATGCGGAGACCGTCCGCTACTGGGCCTATAACACATTATACACACACGAGCTTCGTAAAACCACACACAGAAGTCGCCGCTTACTGGGCAAGCAAAAAAATGTTGCACGATTGGATCACGGCCCAGGCTCGAGTTGAACGTTGTCTGCATGCTTTCAATTCTACCGTTCAACTTGTGCACGGGTATTGATATTGTTCGCAGACGCGGATACCGTCCGCCACTAGGCATATAAATCAATAAAGTGAACCTCAATAATGCAGGGACTTGAAGATAGTGAGAAGAAAAATTCTGCAAAGAACACTGCACGGCCCAGGCTCGAGTCGAACGAGCGATTATCTGCATACATTCAAATTTCCCGCCTTCCTATTCATCGTAGACGCGGATACCGTCCGCTACTGGGCCTATAAAAGCAACAAGGTGAACCTGAATAATGCACGGAGTTGAAGACAGCGAGAAGAAAAAATTTACAAAGAATACTGCACGGCCCAGGCTCGAGTCGACCGAGCGATTGTCTGCATACATATGTCTCCATTCTTCCATTGAGTGCAGGCACGGATGCCGTCCGCCGCCGGGCCTACAGCGCAATAGAAACTAGCTTGAATAAATCACAGAAATTTGACGGAATTCGGCGCCCACTGGGCACAAAAAAAACCCTCCGACTACAGAAGACGTCCACGGCCCAGGCTCGAGTCGAACGAGCGATTGTCTACACGACAATCTCTTTTCCTTCCATTGATCGCAGATGCGGATACCGTCCGCTACTAGGTCTGTGAATCGAAAAAATGAACTTGGATGAACCACGCACAGAATCCAGCGGTCACCGCCAGTGGGCAAGAAAAAAAATGCATTCTAGATCCGATGTACGGCTCAGGCTCGAGTCGAACGAGCGATTGTCTGCATGTATTGGATTTACCCTCCATTGGGTGCAGACGCGGATGCCGTCCGCTACTGGGCCTATAGCTCAAGAAGAATCAACTCGGATGAACCACAGACGTCAGAAATTTCCTTACCGGACACGGAAAAAAAAAACGGCTCAATTCCTCCGACACGGCCCAAGCTCGAGTCGAACGAGCGACTGTCTGCGTACATTTCATTTCCACTCAAGCAATTACTGAGTGCAGATGCGGATACCGTCCGCCACTGGGCCTATAGCTCAATAAAAATGTACTCGGATGAACCACAGAAAATCTGCACGTGACTCGGTATGAAAAAAGTGGCTTCCACAAGTCCCATGGTCCAGGTTCGAGTCGTACGAGCGATTATCTGTATACATTTCATTTTTCCGCGCTCCCATTGATCGAAGATGCGGATACCGTCCGCTACTGGTCCATAAAAGCAATAAGGTGAACTTGGATAAACCACAGATGTCAGAAATTTCCTTACCGGACACGAAAAAAAACGTTGCGATACCTGCTCCACGGCCCAGGTTCGAGTCGAGAGACCTCACTAACTTACTCATGAAAATTAACTTAGCCCTACAAATTTAACTTTGCTTTACTTTTGGCAGGCTAAGTACTTTTGTCAAGTAAAGTAAAGTAAAAAGTACCCGTTAAGTAAAGCAACGTACAGCAAAGTAACAGTTCAGTACAGCAAAGTAACAGTAAGTAAATCCAAGTAGAGCCTAGCAATGTCTGGACCTTTGGTGCAGACATTGTCGCAAAAATTGTCTGTTTCATGGGGATTAATCCATTATTCCCAATTTTTGTCCATGTCTCCGAAACACGGTTCTAGGTTCCTTGGGCACATTCTACCATTTATCAATTCCACTGAAAATAATTCAGCCCCCGGGCACATATAATTTCCCAGACCTCCCTGTCGTTTTGGATCTGAAACACCTCCGTCCCGTCGGATCTTTGCAACTCTTATTACCCCAGACGTTTCTACTACTGGCTTCTACTACCACAAGTATAGATCCAAGCGCACAATATTGGTAGAGTTCTGAACCCAGACCTGTGGATTTAATGTCCCACTTCTCTGCTGCATCCCAGGTTGAGGGCCTTGAAACATTTCCTTTGACAATGTCCCAGCATCTGGATCGCCGTAGCACCATGGTTATAGCAAACTTCCAACCATGATAGTTTGATTGGGTAAGTTTCGGCACACTGGGTAGTAGCGAGTTCGTGTTTGTCGACATTTCTTCCGGGTAATCGTGTTATGTGGTGAGAATGGTAAGATGATAGTAGTGTTTCGTGTAAATCCACGAGATTGTGATGGAGTTTATGCTTGAAGGAATTCGATTGTTAATTCACGCAGTTATTAGTAATCAATTCTTAGAGTTACACGATGGCGGTGAAGCCAGGGGTTTACAAGCTCGTGAGGATTCACCTCTATAACTACTGTATTCATTCTGTTCCTATGAGTTCCTATGAGTCTGTGTGAGTCATAATAAATAATTCCACAATATTCCTGAATCTTCTTCAATGTTCCGTGTGTTCCCAATGAGTCGATATGATTCCGTTCGTGCCCGAGTGCCTAATATCCCACAAGAATTGGTGATACATTAGTACAGGCTGTACTGCGTTACTTGAGTTTTACACGGGAGCAAATACAATGGGATCAGGGTAGCTAAGAGTTATACCGTCGCTTTCGCTCTCGGAGGACATTATCTTTTTTATGTTGAGGATGGCCCGAGATGCCACGGTTGAGTAAACACTTTGAAAAGGTTTAGCGCGTGGAATACTGTAGAAGCGTTACACGTACACCAGAGCGGGCCTATTCGAAGCCAAAATCATGAGTAAGGACGGTACTTGAAACAATGATAAGAGACATACACAACGAGAATTTGCTTCAGGGTCTCTCGTTTGCTGGTCCAGATAATGAGCTCGGATCCACCCGCAGCTGAGGCCCACGCCAAAAGAAATGAACTAAAGAAAATCCAAAGCCGCAGGAAAAAACGCACCGAAAACTGCGAGGAACCAGACGACACCGTCTCGCAGGAACAGTTTCCATATTGGCATGACACGGTGGGCGTTTCCGTGCAACGTGACCCCGCATTTGTACAGCGTCAGCAGAAACATGATGAGTGTCTACTCAATATCGAACACAGGGATGAGAGAAAAATTCGGAATGCTGACCACAAGGAGCGGAGCGGCCGCATATAGTGTCAAAAACCGCGGAACATCTGGGAATTATTGTCAACAGATATAATATTGGGTCGCATTGAGAGAACGGACTATATGCGTAGCATCCCTTGATCAGGGACCTGGTGTCGATGAGACAACGGTGACTGTATCCAATTGAGCTGACTCACCCGAGGCGAACGTAAGCTGGGATCGGGCAGTGAATGAAATAGGAGGATCGCGGGAAGAGGCACATACCGGTCATCTCGGCATACGCAAAGAGATCCACCACGATCCTGAATTAGATTTCAGAGGGGAGTCGAAGCATTAGCTTGAGACGTACATAATCACGACCTCAGCTATGCCGGTTGAATTTAAAAATCACTCTGTTTGCTAAGAATCCGGGAAACGCACCAATGCCCATGAAAATGAACAGCCAGACCAGCCATCGGCGTCGACCATACAAGATCCACACCCTGGTGTTAAAGGCATTCAATACAGAGAAGAAATGGAACGTCTTGGGCGAGTACCTGACCATAAGGACGAGATCCACAGTAGCTATAACCACGGTGGATGTCGATCCCTGAACCTAAATTAAATGCTCGAGGTAAGCGTGTGAGGTCTCCAACAACTGTGGGTTCCATGCACCTTTAGCCACCCTATGCATCTTCGCCATTTGAACACCCAAACCCAGGAAACAAGTGGAGAACGTACTCCTAAACACAACTGTGAGAATGATGAAATTACAAGCGGAGTGTACTTACGCTGGAGGTGGTAATCTCGCGGAGAATGACTTCAAGAAACATGTGGGAACGTGAGAGGGATCAGCATAATGGGGTTATATACCAGTAGTGTTCAAGCTAGACGCTGGTTGAATATCCAAAGCCTCGATTACGTGATATTTTCTCTCACCATATTGAGATGAGACTAAAATATCGATTGAACAGCTTGAAAAAAAAAACGACTGAACCAGCGCTCGGCCGAAACTCTGAGAACATGACTTACATATATAATTTTCGCAAACCTCCAACGGCTTTTCCACATCAGCTCCACCTGAAGTATACTGAGCTTGCAAAATGAATCACCGCAGAATAAACCGACCTCGTCTGGGAAGCAGACGATGTGATCATATCTGCAATAAAAGTCTTGGCATGGGTGGTCACTCCGCCGATGATTCCACGTACATGAGCACACAAATTGAAGCGACTGGGGGCGAGACGTTGTCATGAGACACACATTGAGCAAAGAACTGACGCAAGTACCCGCAAGATATCCAGTGAGTCTGGAGTCCGCGACGAGCTGAAGTAACTGCAAGTTGTCCTGCGCATTGTCTGGCATACGTGGTGTGGAAGATAATCGACCCTGTGGGGGGAGTCAATGCAAGCGCCGCGCCGTGCAAAAATGCTGTGCATACATACGCAGATGTTCCGCGGGCGAAAATGATCGACGAACGGCATAATTAGCGCTCATCAAATATCGGCCACAATTGACGCCGTGTTGGGCGTTTGGAAGAGAAATACTCAGGTATTTCGCTCGGAATTGTAGGTGGCGTTGAAGGACTTTCGCTGCAGCTAAGGTCGAGAATCGGATGGGAAATATCTGCAATGACTCTGTGTGTTTGTTCATTTCCGAGAGAACTGGACGATGACCAAACAGCGGTGCCGTGCTGTGGACTGCTGTAGAGGCGACAGCGAAGCCTGCGGGTGTCCGAATTTGGAATGAGATGAAGAGGAACACAGCAGATATGACGACGAGTTTTTAGGAGTGCGATCGCGATTCTTTCTCCAGCCCGGCGTTCCGATGGGAGGGCCTCCAAGATCTCACAGCGATGGGGGAACGAGGCAAGGAAAGAACCGGACACTTCGGTTCCGACCCCGAATTGATCCGCGCCGTTACATAAGCCCGTCAATTCTGCCCTAATGGGGTGATTTTCGGCTCGGCAGTTGACTAAAAACAGAAATTTCTCACCATCACAGGCCTGGTTTGGACACTCTCCGGTGATCCACGGCTCCACCGGAGACAATCCCCGGCGCAATTCCCACTACCTTTAGGTATGGGTTTCTATAGGGCGCCCTATCAATCAGGTTTTGGCAGTAAATCACATTTTGGTCATTTCTCATCGCGTCAGCAGCTTTTCTCCCTGCCAAAATACTTCGGCATCGGAAACGGCTAAGCGTAATGCCGAAATATGCCGTGGAGCACCGTCAACTGGCTTACGGTGCACCCCTATTTCCTGAGAGAAGTGGGTTCCCCCAGCAAAAACCTAAGCTAATACAAGCAAAACAAAGCTAAAAGAAGACTTTAGATGAAGCTGGTCAGTGTTGGGTCATGGGAGCGCCTAAGACTCGGAGACAACCGATACATATAAGTAAAGCATTTTAATTCAGACGCCAATCCGACGCCGTTAAGTCTTTCGACCTTCACAGCTCCTAGATCAACAGGGATTTCAGAAAGTTTATGCAGTGTCTTCTAGTTCTAGATGTATAGGCTAATAACAAAGTTTAGTCTGGTCTCTAGCAAGAGAACTCTGGCTCAAAAAGCATCCATCTTGGCCTTCCATGTCGATGGGCCTCATCCTCGGCTGTGGCCTCGCATCCTTCTCCGATGAAAATGGTCGAAAATCTCAAGGCATTGCACGCCTGTTCCGAATTCTCATTTCTGAATCCGCCTTTTCGATCTGGAAAATTCGGAATGAGGTGGTAATCAAGAGAGCCGGTGATGCGCTCTCCGAAAATGCAATCCATAATAAGTGGTTACACGCGATAAACCAACGCCTGCAATTTGATTGTTCTCTCACGAACCATGCCAAATACGGCAAACAGAACTCCATCCCCTCATCCCTCGTCATCCAGACATGGAGCAAAACACTCCTGGACGAGGAAAACCTACAACCAGACTGGACCAAAGGACCCAGGGTTTTAGTGGGTATCGAGCCCAGAACATCACATCCCCCCTCCCAGCCCTCGGGCCGGCAGGGACGGAATCGATAGCTCGGAATCCCACACTGTCGCACCCCGCTTCGTGCCAAATGCATTTCCCTGGGTGGTGACTTAAAATTATTCCTCGGGGGGTTTCACCCCCCCTGTTC